GGACAGTCTGCAGGGAGGGGGCCCCCCCCACCCGACCCTTTCTGTGAAATCAGCATGCTGGGGTCCCTCTCTGAAGCGCCTGTACACTAACGCAGGCAGTATAGGGAGCAAGCTCAAGGAATTAGAGATCTGTGTGCAGTTGCAGGGCTATGATCTTGATGGGACCACAGGGACATGGAGGGATGGCTCTCATGCTGTAGACCACCTGACCAGGAAGAACCAGTGGATGAGGTCTTCTGCAGACAGCTAGAAGCAGAACCATTTTTGCAGGTCCTGGTCCTCATGGGGGACTTTAAGCACCCCGATATCTGCTGGAGGAACAACGCTGCAGGGCATAAGCAATCCAGAGGTTCCTGGAAAGCATTGATGACAACTGCTTGATACAAGTGATAGAGGAGCCAGTGAGGAAGGGTGCTCTGCTGGGTCTCATGCTTACAGAGAAGGAAGGGCTTCTTGGGGATATGAAGGTCAGATGGCCTTGGCTGCAATGACCACGAGATGGTGGAGTTCAGGACCCTGAGGGGAAGGAGCAGGGGCAAAAAGCAAGGTCACGGCCCTGGACTTTAGGAGAGCAGACTTTGGTCTCTTCAGGGATCTGCTTGAAACGGTCTAATGATATCCTGGGCTGCATTTCGGAAGTGTGGTGCCAGCAGGTAAAGGGAGGTGATCCTTCCCCTCTACTCAGCACTAGTGAGGTTGTGTCTGCAGTACAGTGTTCAGTTCTGGGCTCCCCAGTACAAGAGAAACATGAACATACTAGAGAGCGCCTAACAAAGAGATGCTAAGATGATTAAGGAACTGGAGCATCTGGAGGAAAGACTGAGAGAGCTGGGACTGTCTAGCCTAGGGAAGAGAAGGCCTGGGGGAACCTCATCAACCTATATAAATATCTGAAGGGAGGATGTAAAGACGATGGAGCCAGGCTCTTTTCAGTGGTGCCCGGTGACAGGACCAGAGACAATGGGCACAAACTGAAACACAGGAGTTTCCCTCTGAACATTGGGAAACACTTTTTTACTGTGAGGGTGACTGAGCACTGGCACAGGTTGCCCAGGGAGGTTGTGGAGTCTCCATCCTTGGAGATATTCAAAAACCATCTGTTCTGGATGGCCCTGCTAGAGCAGGGTGGGGTTGGACCTCCAGAGGTCCCTTCCAACCTCAGCCATTCTGTGGTTCTGTGATAATTGCAAGGGAACATTTTTGGAAAAAGAAGGATGCTGAAAGGAAACTATTGACTGAAGACTATCAGATAACAAAGGAGATTCATAATCTGAGGCAGTTATCAGCTTGATGTCAAAGTAGGTTATACACATTGGCCCAAATTTAATGTCTTATGATAACCTTCACATAGGTGCAAAGACAAACCTGAACTAATTGGTGCCAACAATCAAAATATCAGACTTATTATTCTTAGCCCTGGTAGAAACTGACTTGTTGATAGTGACCATGCTAAGATTTTTTAGGGCACCCTCATGGTATATT